AGGTGCGTTCCAATAAGTCTTCCTACCAATATGACCATGTTGCGAAAACAAGGTCAAACAACTTCTAAAACTAATAATGCTTGATTAATAGACTTAAGGATGGGTGTTGAGCCAACTGCAAAATATGCAACTTAACTAGTCTTTTCTTAATTGTTGGGCCTAGATAAATTTCTTGTTAAAGTGTTTGATGAAAAGATTCGAAGGCTGATCTCACCAGAAGATGGGACGGCGGAATCCTCTTGACCAGCTGAAGATTGGCTGCACTGGAACATTCCTGTTGACTCTGTCTCCGAGATAATCTTCTTCATCGGAATCACAGAAGATTGCCTCAGAAACAGAGTCAACAAAAATATTCCAGTAAAGTATACCGACAGCTGGTCAGGAGGAATCCGCCGTCGTCTTTTGGTGAGATCGACCTTCGAATCTCTTTTCCAAGAACTTTCACTCGAAATAGAAGTAAGTTCAATAGACAATATTTAAAACGTTTACAATCCGGTTATAGGTGGTCACTTAAGTCACATGTATTACAGGCTGTACTTACTTGCTGTGAAAACCGGCCGCCAAGTAGATCATCGAGGCGGGCCAGATAGAGACCACCGGGATGAGTCTCATCACCAGTCCCATAAAGCAGACCCAACACACCTGAAGCTAAGTTTATCAGCAATGGAGATGTATAGGACATTTTGCCTTCAGCTACCAGCTGGGAGGAGATAATTTTACCGGTCCTGATTATACAGCAAAATGAATGTAAAAAGATATCCAAAGTATGGTGTGCATAACTAAGCATTTAATCGAAGATATGAAGACCAAGATGGTGTGACCTCTGGTATGGTCGAAGTCTCCTTTCGATTTATAGAAGTGGGTTGACCTCGCTGTCACAACTTGTTCTTGCTGTCCGGGAGACTTATTAGAACACACAACGGATCAGGAGGGAGTCCTTAACAAGACTAATCAGCTTCACAGTAAAGACAACCTATTTTTCATTCAACAGGAACATCTGGATGGCTGCTCTCACCACTTTTGGCGAACGTATACATGAACAAAATAGAAGAGAACTTCTAGATGGCACCGCTACAACTGGCAGTGCTCATGCAGTACCTGGATGATTACTTCGCACTTTGGTAACATGGAAGAGAAAAACTAAGAGAGCTTCTCAAGTTTATAAACCAGATTGATGAAAAAATTCAATTCACGATGGAAGGAGAGGAAGGTGAGCGGTTGCCATTCCTGGATGTTGAAGTGATTCGCTCTAATGGGACGCTCAAAAATAAATTGTTCAGAAAGAAGTCCTATGCTGGGATAA